CTGAGAGTGGTCTCCCCCGACGACGGCCTTCTTTTTTTCCCGGGGGGGGGGGAGAAGGGAAGGGGGACGAAACAAGCCAGTAGGTTCTATGCAAACAACTGTCTACACGACAAAACATTATTTCGGGTAATGAGCTTCGTGGGCCACAAAAGTCGTTCTTGTTAAACTGCAAGTGCCGTGAGGGAGGGTCACATTACCATACTGGCCTCGGTGCTTCATTGTATTATATTGCCAACACTTAAAGTTCACTGTTAGTTCCACGTACGGTCGTTAGCTGGTGGCCGAGGACCGAGGGTCACATTACCATACTGGCCTCGGTGCTTCATTGTATTATATTGCCAACACTTAAAGTTCACTGTTAGTTCCACGTACGGTCGTTAGCTGGTGGTCCGAGGACCGTACACCACCCCCCCCCCTCAACCGAAATAAGGCCCGTTATTTCGCTCTCAAACAGGCGACACAGTTTCCTGTGAGAACAACTCCAAGCTGAGGAAAAAACCCACGATAAATGACCCGCGCATAAGGCATAAAATAAACAATCTAAGGACCCTCGGAAAATCAGCATTACCTTCGTAGTTGTTACCGTTGTCCGCTCTGGATCACCAACATCTGTAGCAGCAGGTTGCAGTGTTGCAGTTGAGTCCTCGATGTCCTCAACCAGAGGAGCTTCAGGAGCCTGTCGTATTGAGGGTTCCAATACTTGTGCTTCATCAGTCGATAGCTCAGTCACCGGCTGACCACTTCCAGGACCCCCTTGGTCACGAAGACTCAAACGCAACGCGTAGTTAAGTAACTATGAATGAGAAAGAACAGAGTCGTTTAGGTATCGAATGGGAAACCTCGTCATTTTTTCCACAGAAAACATATACCTAGACTAGATCGAATTCTGAAAAATATCACGACTCACCGCGTCTTCATCAACCTGCTCCAAGAGGTCACGCAAAGCAAGTGGATCTTCTTGTGAACCGGAACCCAGAAACTGAATAGCCGATTCGATTCCTTCCAGATCAACTGTCGGATCAACGGAAGTCGGTGCCTCGTCTCCACTGGTCCCAGCAGGCCAGTCCTGTTCCAAATCGACTTGCACTTGAGACTGATTGGGTGCATCTATTTCGGTTTGTTCGGTTTCGGAGTGATGGACGGTCGACTCTGCCAGAGCTACCGTGGGCTGACCCTCATCCGCAGAGGAATCACTTGCAGGTCGAGGAGTAGCCGCTCGTCCAGTGACATCATGAGACAAAGTTTGCTGTTCTTGTCGCTCCAACTCTTCTTGCTGTTGCTGCTGCTGCTGCTGAGGCGTTCGATCGTACAAACGCGAGGACAGTGACCATGGCAATTGGCCTAATAATGAGGATCCTTCAAGGCTAGATTGGTCGGCTTCAGCAAGAAGTTGCGCAAGTAAGACAGCCATCTCATCATTCAACACAGCATTATCTCCCAGATCCAGATTCGCATCACTGTCAGCATCGTCCGCTCCATCTGCGTCTTCATCATCAAAGTCACTCTCGGCCGCGTCATCATCCTCATTGTGTTCCTCCTCGTCTTCTTCGTTCTGTTCATCGCTATCCTGCTCGATATTCTCATCTTCATCTTCCTCCTCCAAATCGTCTTCATCGTTCTGTTCCTCCTCGTCCTCATCACCCATCGTGCCTATATCACCATCTTCCAATTCTCCTTGCAATGCCTGGCTCTCATCTCGCAGGCGATTTAGTTCGGCCTGTAGTACATCCATTCCAGCGGCTATCTCTTCCTCTTCCTCTTCCTCCTCGTCATCGAAGGTTTGCATAGAGGAAGGCAATTGACGAGAGGAAATGAGCTGGCGACCAAGCCTGATCACGTTCAGAAAACGCTCCGCATCCTGTTGATCCGTACTACCAGCACCCCAACCTGTTGAGTTTTCCAAATCCAGTATAGCTGGCAGAATAGAGGAGGATGCGGACGAGGAGGATGTTCCGAGGTTTCGAACCAAGCTCCTCTCAAACGGTTGAATACGTGTGGATGCGTTCGTTTCATTTTCCCAGCTCAGCCACGCCGGACGCTGAAAAGCACATGCAGAAGCAACCACAGTCAGGGAGAAACGCCGATCTAACAAAACATGACTATTTCGAACCCGACTGGCCGTATAAGAATGACCCGGACCACATCAATGGCTAGAGACATTGTCAGACATGGCCAGTCGCGCCTCTCAATGGCGTTCGTGCATCAAAGCTATTGCCTTCAATGCATAGCTCATTTTCCAACCCCCCCCCCCCACTCGACATCCCACTGACAGTGCTGGATTTATGCACCAATTTATCATCTCCCGCCTGCAATGCGCAGCTACCTCCCCCTCCCCCCAAATCATCGGTGAACGAAACTGCGGCAGCTACAACCACTGTACAACGAGTAGGCGGTTATTACAGCTGACAATGATGATGATGCATGGGGTGTAAAGCTTGGGTCAGATGGGACGAAGCAGTGTTAAAACCGAACGA